CCCCGTGGGGGCTGAGGGTCCCGGCTGAGGCCCCAGCATCACCCACGAGCTGGGAGAAGAGTCTGGGAGAGGGGCACAGAAAGCAGGGAAGATACAACAGAGACATCCAGACACAGAGGGACACGAGCTGCCTGTGGGAGGGCAGAGTGAGCCCTCCCCTCCCTCCGGTGCTGGGGCACAGGGACCCACAAGGCACCCCCAATGATGCGGGGGCTGCCCCGAGATGGGGTACCCCATACCAGGGTCTCATGGGACAGGAGAGGAGGGGAGAGTGGGTTACAGCACTGCTGGGCAACCCAACTCCGCTGACCCCCTTCCCCAGGACACGCTGTACGGCGCCAGCCACGGGCAGCACCCACCTTGGAGCCCCGCTCATTGAAAATGATCTCCACGTCCAGGATCTTCCCGAATTGCTGCAAGTGGAGAGAGCAGAGGGGTGAGCACCCACAGAGCTCCCCACCCTCCACCTGCTGGCACAAGGCTCTGTGCCAGGGATGGGCAGAGGACTGCCCCAGACCCGAGGACCCTTGAGGCTGTGCCAGGGGAGAGCCCTTGTCCCTCCCATGGCTCCTTAGCTGGGGGAGTGTCACCCAAAACCTCATTAGCTGGCACTGTACTGAGTCCTAATGAGGGCTGGGAAGGGGGCAGTGGAGGGAGACAAAGGCTCTGTGCCACTCCCTGCTCCACATGTGGGCTGGGCAGGATGGGCCCTTGGTAGGGTACAGTGCCATGGGGCCCCGGTGGTGCCAAGGGGCAGCACTGAGCAGGGAGTAGGGAAGATGGGCCTGGATGGGGCTGGACTCACCCCGAACATTTGCCGCAGGTCAGGGTCCCGGAATCGGAAGGGGATGTTGGAGACGTGTAACCTCTTGGGCTGCTGCTTGTCTGTGTTGTCTGAGGAGTGTAGCTGCTGGCTGTCTGTCTGTGCCGCCTCGTCTGTCTGCTGTGGGAGGCAGTGCTGCCATCAGCCCCTGGCCATGCCAGCCCCATGTCCCCAGTGGGGCTACAAGCTTGGGGACAGTCCACCTGCCCTGCACTTGGCCTTGTATGCCTCCAGGGACAGCCTGGACCTTGTGATCCCCAAGCTTCAGGCAGCACCCCATGGATCTCCCTCTACCCTGCTGAGCTGGGGGGAATGATGGCAGGGATTCCTGACCACTGGGAGTCAAGGAACACCCAACCTGGAGAACCTGCCTGCACTTCCCCACCTCAGTCACTGCTGCCAGTGGGGTCAGGGCATCACCCATCCCCTGAGTGGTGCCAGGGGTCTGGGAAGTTGAGCATCAGGGGAAGGGGAGGCCTGGGAGACAGCAGGGGGATCCCCATGGCAGAGCCAGCCAACACTGGGTGGCCACACATCGGCCTCTCTCCTTGCCTACAGCCCCGTGGCACGGTGTCTGGGGCTGTGGTCATGGCACATGGGTGTGCTCAGGGTGGGGATGCAGATGCTGCATGTGGGGCCACGTGGAAACACGGAAATGCTGAGCTCAGCACTCTCCCGGTGCTGCGTTCCAGCCCTGTAATTGCCGCGATCTGGTGGACCACAGCCAAGCAGGTGGATTACGAGTGATTAGAAGTGATGGGGGGCTGCAAGGAGGAGTGATGGCAGGGACACCCAGCTTGTGGGACTGTGGCCAGGTAGCTCCACTCCACAGCGCCCTTCCGGCTGCTCCGGCACTGCCCTCGGCCCACCTGTGCCCCGACCCACTGCCTTACCGGTACCGTCTGTGTCCCTGCTATGGACTGTGTGCTGGCGTCGGTGCCCGGCTGCTCGGCGTGGCTCTGTGCTGGTGTGTAGAGGGTCATGGCGTGCTCCGGTACTGTGCTCTGCCCCGAGTAGTCCTGCGTGGGGTGTGGGTGCGGTGGTGCGTACTCTGCGGGGATCCCGTTCTGGGGGGGTGGGGGGTACTGGGCCGGGGGGTAGGGC